GTCTATTTGAATATACAATAAATAATATGACTGATTTTCTTTTTTTCCTTTTAATAGGAAATTGAATATCGCGTAGGAGTTGAAACAAAAAAGTTATATGAAATATGACATATAAAAAAAGAAATATGTACATACGTACATACAAAGAAATACATATATTGAATTTGTAAACAATGTAACAAAGATGAAGAAAAGGAGTAAAGAGTTCGGGAAAAAAAAAGAAGACAAATAAATGAAAAAAGGGCAGTAACTGACACGCGTCACTTTCCCTTTCAATTACTCTCTTGTATTTTATTTATTTTTTTTTCTTCTTGTTTCTATTTTATACGTTCTAAATTTAAAAAATAAACTATAAACTTTTGTGTAAACAAAATATCGTATGTATTTATAGAAATAGAAAGAGAGAGGACGTTTAAAAATAGACCTTATAGTCATCAAAGTTTGCAATGAATTCAAACATACCAACTTACACATTGTCTTCTTTATTGCATATTTATGAATATATGTATATAGATATGAGTATATTTGCAAAATTGAGTAATTTATATAAGCTTGAGACTGACCTAAATCCTTCAAACGGAAATAATAAAAAAATTTTATTTTAAATTTTAAATAATTAAGCAAGATAAAATTAATTATGATTTATTGTTTAGGAATTTTGCGGATAATTTTTGCAAATAAAATTAGCATATTCATTATGATAAATCAAATTAATTTATGTATTACAGTGACTAATACAAACCTACAAGTACTTAGTGTAATAAAAAAATCATAAAGATATATTCTAATGTAAAAATTATTGAAAGAGTTCGAATAGCTAAACAAGTATAGTGTCGATAGATCGATTTTTATAATTCTATAGAGAAAACAGAAAAACATTTAAATTAAATTCGTTTAGAGCAATGCAACAGCCTTCAGTGTTTGGTCAAAACCGTGCTTCACTGCATATTGTTAAATTTTTCTCATGCAAAATGCTTGATAAAATACTAAAAAAAATGAAATTTATGAACGTTAATTTTGTAATTAATTAATAGAGAAAAAGTGAAGTAATGGTTTACATTCATAATATAATATAAAAAAAAATTAATCTTACATCAAGAAGCTGTGTGACAATAGTTTAATAGTTTGAAAGTTATTTTAATAAATTGTTGACTAAACAGAAAATTTAGTGAAACTGTTGCCCAAAATTTCATACAACTGTTTCCCAAAATTTCTAAATAGAAAGCTAAAATTTTGCCTCCCTTAAAAATTTTCATCTCCTAAATTGAGTTCTAAAAATGTAATTATTTGATAATATATTTTGCATTAAAACACAACCACCAATTTAAATACCAGCAAATATAAAAAATGGCAGAAATTTCTTCTACTGCAAAACAGCATATAAGCAAACACATTCGATAATTTTTCTGCAGGTCCGTTGTCGTATCTCACAATTAACAAAATTTTAATTTTCGACTCTTTATTTTTTACGAAACTATTAACTTTTCCTAATTTCTATGAAAACAATCTAGTACTCGTAATTGAAAATATGATTATTTCTTTTGGCTTCTTATACCTAATTAATTCGAACATTACATTACTGTTTTTTTTTTTGTAACTTTTTTTCTCATCCGAAAAGTATGCAATCAAAGTTTGCAATCTATTGCATAATATAATTTTTCAAGTATTTTCACTCAATCGCCGAGAAGAACTTACACTGCTTAACAAAGCTATTAGTTTGATTGGAATTAATTTTTACCAGGAAATCTATTACAAAATGTAATTCTAAAATTGAAAAAAGAACTCATAAAATATTCACAATTTAGTAAAGCACAAGAAAATGCAAAAACACATGTATATGATTCTATTTTTGAAAAGATTCTCTAACTACTTACTAAATTTAATAGAAATTTGAATTGTAGAAAAATTATTTATTTAAATTCCAAAATGTAAACAAATTTTTATCAACTGCAGCTTGTAAAATATTTGTATACTGCAGCTACTACTATACTGTACGAGTCTTAATTTTTGTATTATAGATTTTAATATTTAATAATTTTGATTAAATATTTCCTTTCAGTACCGAAAATTTTTTAATAATTTAAAAACAAAAACTTATAACTTCCTTATTTTAATACTCACCTGCATTTTATATGATTATTCAGTTGAAAAAAAAGTAGAGTAAGGGTTTAGAAAGGACAAAGTTTTCCATTTTTTGAAAACCATGCAAATACAAAAAGAGTTTTTCATTTTTTTTTTTTGTTTTTATTTCTATATTTTTATTAATCCTGCAAAAGGATATAAGGTAAACATAAAGTAAATAAAAAAAGAAAAATAAATTGCAATGAATACGAAAAACCTTATGGTGAAATTTTTATTTTCATAAGGTTAAAAACTTCTTTTACATTTCTCCACTTCTTCTCTACATTTCATTCTTTTCTACATTGTAAGAACATTTTATATGCATACCTATATACATACATACATGCAACGTGTATAGTACTTGTATAGAATGAGACTTGTTTTCATAAAAAATTTATGAATTTACAACATAGGTACATAAAAAGTATTAAGAATACAAAAAAAAAGGAAAAAAAAAACCTCAAGTAAATCGTAAACGCCTAGACTTCTCTTTGTAAATCCATAAAATGAGGAAGATTAAATAAAATAAACATAAACCAGCACTTGTGTATCTAAAAATGTAAAAATATAAAAAAAAACATAAAGGTATAAAAGTTTATGAAATAACTTGCACATCCTTTCATTTCTCCTAAATTAAATTCATATTCGGAGTAATAGAAGAATATGGCATTTTTTTTTAATGTGTTCGAATATAAGAAAAGAAAATTCATTCATTGATAAAATAATGGTCAGCTAAGAGACTTTCAAATTCTATAAAGTACTTTTAGAAGGTATTCAAAAGAAAATTATTTTCAACTCTAATACAGGTATCCCTCGTATAACACGGCACTTGTATAACACGTTTTCGATATTACACGGTATAAAATTTGCGACTTTTTTAACACGATTTTCGATATTACACGGAAATTTTTTTTTAAATTTTGATATTCAACACAACAAAAATGGGATTTCCCCTAAAAATAATAACAAATACTTAAACATACAAAATACATTTCGTAATATGTACTTGAATAATTTATATTCTCTGTCAAGCCACTTGTGTTTTTCACTTTGATAAAGAAAGATCGTTCAAGTTTTTTGGGGATGGGTTTGTCGATATGAATATTCAAGACATAAGAGAGCTGTTCGAAGAAAAAACCTTGGATGAGGAAGAGCTCATTGCATTATTGAATATATCCAATTTTGATCAAAACGAAAACTTTAGCTTTATCGCTCCTAAATTAAGTTTAGCTGACGTGCAAAAAGGTATAGCGTTAGCTAATGACTTAGAGAATCATTTCGTTGACAAAGATTCTTCAGCAGTTCGTTGCGGAAAATTTAAAAGAGATCTCAGAAGTTGCTTGGGTCCTTATAGAGAAGTTTTGGCCCAGTTGCAATCTGATTTTGTAGCTGCTTCATCTGATGAAGAAATAACTAGTGACGAGGATTTTCAAGCAAATATGAAAAAAATTAATACTAAGTCACGGGTCATTTTTGATGACAGCGATGATTCAAATTAATCTAATGAAATTGTTTCATTACGATTTATACATTATGAATTTATATTTTTATTTTTGTTCGTTATTACTTATGATTGAATTTATTATTTATTTATATTAAAAAAATAAAGTTAATAAGTTTTTCATTAATTTTTTTATGAAATTTCAGATTTTCTAAAATTTACCTCTCGATATAACACGGAGCATGTTTTCGATATTACACGGAAAATACATTAGTTTTACAGTCTCGTTTAACACGGTTTCGATACAACACGGTTTTTATATAACACGGTCTCGATATTACACGGACAAAAAAATTTTCTTGAATTGATGTAATTACGTTATTTATTGTACCTAACAATATTATGTACATAATTTGTTATCTTTTTAAAAACCTCGTATACCACGGTTTCGATATAACACGGAACCAATTAACCGTGTTATAGGAGTGATACCTGTATTAACTTAAATGAATTTTTTTTTATTTAAGAATGCCTTTTATTTTTATAAAAGTACTCCGATTTAATAATTGTAGAATGATATTCTTATTATGTATAGCAAATTTTTCAAGAAATTTGGAGAACGTGAGATTTCGGTATTATGTACAGCGAATTCGTCAAATTTTTTATTGAATTCGTAAAGAAATTTTGGAAACGAAAATGGGAATGTGAATATCTGACAGCGGATTTTTCAAAAGCATAAAGTATATTATTTTTCGTTGCTGCCATTGCGTAAAAAATTTAACCAGCTCAAGAGAATTCGACATGCTGGCAAGCCTTTAAATATTTATTTTTGTGTTTTATTCTATTAACAAAGAAATAGAACTTCCAGACAACGTTTTGAAAATAGACTTATTTATAAGTTAATCTAAGATCACAAAAATTACAAAAGATATTAGGTTTCAATACAAATAACTTTATAATTATTTAATATTATAATTTAGTAATTATTCATAATAATTAATTCAAGGTTTAAATTCATTTACTCTCCTTATTAATTAATACTAAAAATTAAACATTACGAAATCAATATTCGATTTGATTTATTCTAAATTTCATGGAAAATCACAACACTTGTTCTTCAATCATTAAATTTTTATAAAAAACCAAACAAAAATTTGATAAATTACGAGGATTTGATTTATAAACTAGGTATTTTTTGTTTATCCAATAATTAAGTAAAATGCATTTTCATATTTCATGACAAAAGATATTTAAATTAAATGAGGATTAAGTGTGTAATATTCGTAACGTTTATATGTTCCCTCAATCATACTTATACTCAGGTATTATTAAACTCTTACAACTTATGTTTAATTACTTACATTGTTTAAAAATTGTCTATGACAAATTTATAATAAAAAATTAAATAATTTAATTCTGTTTTAATTTTTAGATACCGGTGGATTAAAAATGGAAAACCATTTAATTGGCAAGCTTATGATAATCGTATGTTACAGCAACCGGGACGCGGTACACTTGTTATAACATCACCAAAAGATGAAGATCTTGGTCAATATCAATGTTTTGCTGAAAATGAATTTGGTGTTGCCACATCGAATTCAGTATTTGTACGTAAAGCAGAATTAAATGCATTTAAAGATGATGCACCAAAAGAAGTTCAAGCTAACGAAGGTGCACCATTTCAATTACAATGTGAGCCACCAGATGGTTGGCCAAAACCAACAGTTAATTGGTTAATTCAGGGTCTTGATGGTGGTATAAAAAGTATAAATAATTCACGTATGACATTAGATCCAGAAGGTAATCTATGGTTCTCGAATGTAACACGTGAAGATGCATCCGATGATTTTTATTATGCTTGCTCAGCAACATCAGTTTTTCGTAATGAATATAAAATTGGTAACCGTATTTTGTTAAATGTTGTATCAACTGGTATATCACCTGGTTTAAATAAACATGAACCAAAACGTCAATATGTTACAAGAAAACAAGAAACTGCTTTAAGAGGGAAAAAAATTGAATTATATTGTATTTACGGTGGAACACCATTACCTCAAATAGTTTGGAAAAAAGATGGCCGTGATCTTCATTGGAATGATAGGGTAACACAAGGAAATTACGGTAAAAGTTTAGTAATAAGACGTGTTAATTCTGATGATGCTGGTTCATACACGTGTGAAGCATCGAATGGTATTGGTAACGCTCAATCTTATAATATAAATTTGCGTGTATTGTCAATTCCGTATTTTACTGTTGAGCCCGAAATTCAGAATGCAGCTGAAGAAGAAGAGGTAACATTTAGATGCGAAGCATCTGGTGTACCAGAGCCAACAATTAAATGGATTCATAATGGTAAACCTATCGAACAAGCTCCACAAAATCCTCGTAGAATAGTTCAAAATAATCAAATTACAATTAAGAATTTAGAAAAAAGTGATACTGGCAACTATGGTTGTAACGCAACAAATTCCTTAGGCTATGTATATAAAGATGTTTATTTAAATGTTTTGGCTTTACCTCCAGAAATCACTGAACCACCACAAAGTAAATTAACTGTTGATGGTCAAAATGTTACAATGAGATGTCGTGTATTTGGTGCTCCTAAACCAATTGTGAAATGGATCCGTAACAACTTGGCTTTAACTGGTGGACGCTATCATATAATGGATACTGGTGATTTATTGATTCAAAGTGTTAGTTTTGCTGATGCTGGAAACTATGAATGTTATGCCAAAAATAAGTTAGGTGATGCCAGAGCTCATGGTAATTTAGATGTCAAAGAACATACAAGAATTACAGAAGCACCATCTGATTACGAAGTTGCTGCTGGAAATTCAGCTACATTCCGTTGTAATGCGGCCTCAGATAATAATTTAGAATTGGAAATTTTATGGCAAAAGAATGGCGAAGACATTGACTTTGAACAGGAAGTACGTTTTGTTAAAACTAATGACCACTCATTGACAATAGCTAAAACAGTTGAATTAGATTCTGGTGTATATACTTGCGTAGCAAAAACCGCATTAGATTCAGCCAGTGAGCAAGCTACTTTAATTGTTCAAGATGTTCCTAACCCACCAGAATTAATTAGCACTGATTGTTATGCTGAAGAAGCATTAATTAGATGGCAACCGCAAGGAGATAATCGTTCACCAATTTTGCACTACACCATACAATATAATACCTCATTTACGCCAGAAACATGGGAAGTTGCATTTGAAAAAGTTCCATCAACTGATTTCTCTCACAGAGTACCCATGTCTCCATGGGCTAATTATACCTTCCGTGTTATAGCACATAATAAAATTGGTCCTTCAATCCCATCACCTAATGGTGAATCATGTTCAACACAGCCAGCTGTTCCTGGAAAAAATCCGTATAATGTCATAGGTAAAGGTACAAATCCAAATAACATGGTAATTTCATGGACTCCAATGCCCGAAATTGAACATAATGGACCAGATTTTCATTATCGAGTTTTTTGGAAGCGTGACAGTCCCGGATCACAATGGGAAAATGTGGATATTTATGATTGGAAACAAAGTCATTATGAAGTTGTTAATCAACCTACATTCGTTCGCTATATAATAAAGGTTATAGCTATTAATCGACAAGGAGAATCTAATATTGCGCCTGTTGAAACTTTTGGATATTCAGGAGAAGACAGTAAGCAAAAGAAAATTTTGTAATATATTTAATGTATAAAATTTACTTACATTTTTTATTTTAAATCAAGGACCAACGCAGGCACCAACTAATTTTTCAATGATACAAGTAACAAATAGCATTTCAGCATTATTAAGTTGGAACCCAGTAGCACCAGAAACCGTTCGAGGTCATTTTAGAGGTTATAAAATTCAAACATGGACAGAAGCTGAAGGAGAGGATAATTATAGAGAAATTCAAGTTAAACCGGATTCTAATCAGGCTTTAGTAACCAAATTCAAACCCGATTCCAAGAATTTTGCGCGTGTATTAGTTTACAATGATGCGTTTGATGGTCCACCAAGTGCCACAATCGATTTTGATACTCCAGAGGGAGTTCCATCATCTGTCCAATCATTTGAAGCTCACCCAATTGGTTCATCAGCATTCAACTTATTCTGGAAGCCTCCGTTACATCCAAATGGTAAAATTACCGGCTATAAAATTTATTATGAAGTTGTAGATGGAACTGGCTTGGGTCCTAAAATGGAACGTAATCCTCAAATAAGAAATCCAAATGCGCGAGAAGCTAAGTTAGGTGGACTATTTCCAAATACTAAATATCGAATTTCTATTGTCGCGACCACAAAAATGGGCGAAGGAGCCGAGTAAGTTCACATTATCTTAATACAAAAAATCACATTATCATGAAACAAAAAATCATTATTGATATTCAATTGCAGATATTTTGTTGAAAGAAGAAGCGGAATTACACCAGAAGTTCCGGATGTTCCTAAATTTAGTATTGAAGAATTACCCTCAGATGATGGTTATGGCATTGTTAAAGTTAAATATATTCCAAATATTGATGGCAAATCAGGATCTCATTTCTACACCAAATATAGGTACATATTAAGTTTTATTTTTTTGGGTTACTGAATGGATTAATTTTGACATTTCGTTGTATAAAAATTGTAGAGAAAAAGGAACAGAAAAATTCCATGAAGTGGAAGCTGAACCAAATGAAAATGAACAAATAATTAGAGGTTTAAATGCTGATAAGCATTATGAATTCCAAGTAGTGGCAGCTGATGGTAATCTTGTAAAAGAATCAGAAATTCAAGAAAAATTTGTCGTTGGAAATGGTGTTATAGCTATACCAACAGACGACGTTGCTAATGCTGGATGGTTTATTGGAATGATGTTGGCTTTAGCATTTATAATATTACTACTTATAATTGTTTGTATAATTAGAAGAAATCGTGGTGGAAAATATGATGTACATGATCGTGAAGTAGCGAACGGAAGACGAGATTATCCAGAAGAGGGAGGTTTCCATGAGTATTCACAGCCGTAAGTTGAATGAGCTTTTAATTTTATATATTTAAAAAAGTTCTTTCAATGTTGTTTTTTGAAATTCATCATATTTAAATTACTAATTTTTTTAGTAATTTAAATATGAAGTTATAACCATTACTAATTTTGTATATTCCATTTTACTTTTAGCTTGGATACAAAGAGTACTGGTAGGCAGTCAGTTAGTTCAACAAGTAAACGAGGCCCAGAAAGTGATACAGATTCAATGGCTGAATATGGTGATGGTGATACAGGTATGTGAAGCGTAACTTCTAAAAGAGATAAAAAACAATTGTCACAAATTGTATTGCTAATAAACATTTTATTTTATTTATAAATTTTAATTTTTTTTTATAATTTTATATGCAAATTTTTTTTTATAATTATAATTTTATAATTTTTTAAAAAAATAAACTTATTTTTATTTTGATGGAAATGAGGTCGCAAAACCAAACAACGATTACATCCTCAGGTAAAGTACGATAAAATCACAAATGAAGAATCTGCCGATTAGTGACTGTTTAAATTGCAAAAATAAAAAAAAAATAACCAAGCTCATAAAATATTGGAAACATAATTATTAATCGATTGCGATGATTGCAAGTTTTAACGCAAAAATTCATGAATAACTAATAAAACTTAACCACAATATGTAATATTAAATGACAAAGTAAATAATAATTATTTATTTATTTTAAGAGAGCATTACAAAAAATGCTGTTTTTAAGGGCTTATGTGTTGTTTAGGTAAAAAAAGTGCTTAAGAACTCTGCTACCGATATTATTGCAAATTTTTTTCGTCAAAATATGAAATAAATTTTATATCATTTCATTTCTTTTATTTTGTTCCCATGGCTTTTATCATTTTTAAACTATTTTTCTTATTTTTATCTCAAATTATTTTTATGATATTCACATTCCATAATAATTTGTATAAATAAATATTATAAATCGAAACTTGAGTAAAATACTTTTTACAATATGTAAAACTTTTACATTAAAATATTTTTTTTTTTCGAGATTTAATGTTGGTACAGATTTTAAAGTAATGTTTGAACAAACAAAATGATAGAGAACCTTATTATCTTAATTAGTTAATAATCTACGATTGTTTGCTGCTATATTAAAGTATCGTTTTTATTTAGAAATCAAGAATTGTTTTAATGAATTTAAAAATCAAATTTTTGTTGTTTCTAACCAATTTTTTTTCTACTAATCCTATTTAGGCTCGCTCTCATTTCCATCAATTTAACAAAAAAAAAGAAGAAACAAATATTTTAATTAAAAATCGATTGAATTCACATTTTGTTTTTGTTGTTTGAAAGTTCATTTCATAATTTTTAAAATTTTTTGAAATATTTTAAAAATTTTTTAACTTTACCTGATCAAAATTCGATCTTCTGCTGTTCAATCTCTCTATTTTCATTTGACACCAAAATCACAAAATGTGTTCTTTTTTGCCGTTTTTTTTTTACATCAAAAAATTTAAACGACATTTTTTTTATTTTACATTAATTTTATAAAATTATTTTAGTTTTTTTTATTTTTAATTTAATTTATTTTTGTTTTGTGTTTTTATAACGTTTTTGATTTGATTTTCGTTTTTTTTTTTCTCTTTTCTTTTTTCTTTTTGAAAAATGTTGATATTCCAACTTTTTTTTAGAAGGTATGAATGAGGATGGTTCATTTATTGGACAATATGGACGTACGTGATTGGGGTCTCTTTCTATCTCATCATATGAGTTTATACACCACCGTTGATGTTGTGTTTTTATTAATTATTTTAAAGCAAAAGAAAAAGAAAATAAATTCTTTTTTGAGTATTTTTTTAAATTTATCATTTAAATTTTTTACATTCGAAGTTCAAAATAGCTACAAAATTAATGTATAAAAATTGAAACAGTAATTATTAAAATAAATAAGATTTTTTATATCATCGATTATAAAGCGAATCAAAATACTACTACTACTTATTTACTCTATAACTACAAAATTTCGATTACAACGCTATTGCAATTATTATAAAACAAATTCAATAAAGTTGTTGTTACGGCTGAGGTAGAGTTGAAAATTACAAAAAAAAACAAAATCAAATATTTATTAGTTTTCATAAAATTTATATATATATATATATATATTTAAAAGTTCAAGTATTTATTCTAATTAATATCCCCTTGCTTGTTAATATATATAAAAATAAAATAAAATTCTATATTTTACTAGTTAATAGATCTGTCGTCCTTCTTGTGTTACATATTTATTATACTTAATACTTTTTTAATACAAAGAAGCTGTAAATTCTCAAAATCCCCTTTTACATTTCTCATAAAACTTTATTTTTATTTTTCAATTTCATGTACATAAATAATTATTCAATTTTTCTATTTTTATTTTTTCTTTTTTTGTTATATTTTGAAGTCGATTAATATATTAAAAACTATAATATAAATTTTTAAATGCAAAAGTTAAAAATATTAATTAAAAAAAAATTCCTCACGGTTAATAATTTTTCCGAAATATAAATTTGTTTTTTAGGTGTATGAAGAAAATCAGCTTTGATAAAGTGCGTATGTAGCTCACGAAATATATTAGAAAAGATAATTTATTCCGAATAAAAGGGAGTTTTCTTTTCATACACCAAAAAAAAGCAAATAAATATTAATATTAAAAGTGTAACTTTTTAAATTAAAACTTTAGGCGAAAGTCTTGTTGTCAATCCAAAATTTCACAAATTTACAATAAATTCAAAAAATAAAAAATAAATAATGCAATGTCAAATTTTTTAAAAATTTACGTCTAGAAAACATTGTATTCCGATAATTCTTAATACTTTCGATTTTTACTTCCGATCCGATTATTCTTAAATCATTGTATTTTATGTTCTTATGTTTAAAATTTCCGTATCGAGAAAATTTTGAGTACACAAAATGATAACATGCGAGTATGTTACAAAAACACATTGTCAAATAAATTACGATCATAACAAAATGTAATTTTTTTGACTTACATTTAAGTTTACACGACATTGCATTCGTCACATCTCAGGGAAAATGCTCTAATAAGTGTCAATCTTTGATTCTTAAAATTTCTTGTTATTTTAAATGACTTGAAAACATTTGTTTACAATTAAATTAAACGGCAAACAAACATTTGTTTGTCTTCATAAATGTTAAACTGTCTTTAATGTTTTTAGTCTTTGAAAATTTTAAATTAATCGACTTCTTTATATACAAAAAAAAAAATTATCATTATCATCAACTTCATTCATTTTAACATTCAACTCCATTTAATAATTTCATTTTATCATACTACAAATATTTAAAAATTGGCTCTACTTCTGTCCCTATAATAATTTAATTATTGTTTTTTCTTCCTCTCTTAAATGTTTAAAACTGGTGGTGGTTAATTTATGTTTTAAACGATCAGAGAATGTTCAAAATTTATACTAATATGAAAAGGTTTAATTTTTTTTTACGTATTACATGTTTTGGTTATGGATAAAAAAAACTTGTTTTTTTTTTTCAATTGGAACTCTAATTTCAAATAAAACAATAATTTAAGCATAGAATAAAATTGAGTACAAATTTTCCCTTTCTTTTGAAACCCAATAATTTTTTGTAAGATAATTTTGGTGAATAAATTTTTTCTATTAGTTTGTATGATTTAGATTAAAAGAGGATTTGTGGAAATGTGTTCAAATTAAATTCTTCAATAATTTTCTTTTAGTCTTCAATTACGTATGATAGTTATAAAATATATTATAATATTTTCAGTATATTTTTTAAATAAATAATTTAAATTACATAATAAAAATGAATGCAGTTTAATAAAAATATTTTAATTCTTAAAAAAAAACCCATTATTTGAAATTTTTTATTTACTTGTACACTAAACACATTATAGCAGTTTCTAATGAATAAAAATTAAGTGCTCTTAAAAATAGATAAAAATTGATTTCTTAATTTACTTTTGATTGATATTAGTTCATATAATTTCAAAAATTATTTCAGCAAGTTAACAGTATACTTTACAAATTATATGAAACATTTGATTATATTTATATGTAATGTTCGTCTCAATTCTTGTTATAATGAACTAAGTATATAACAACATTGTACTTTATGAATTATTATTTGCATTGCTAATATAATTTCACTACTTTCAGAATAAACTATTTAAAACATTTATCTGGATCAAAATTCGCAGCAATTTAAATTTTGTCGAAATTTGTTATGCTTAAAGCATAAAAACAAAATCTGCTCCCTATAAAGGTTATACTGTTACACTCTTGCTTAAATAACTACATATTTTGACTTTTGTATTACAGAATTTAATCTTATACATATATTTTGCCAAATTGGTTTTGTCAAATTTAAAATTTCTTATTAAGTAACATTTCTACTTATGCACAAATCCAATTCAAAATTTGTACAACCCTTCCAAAATTCTTTTTCTTTTATATTTATCTAAATAAGGCATTAAAAACTTTTTATAAATTTGTCAAAGAATTTTACTAATCTGTGCATGTGGTTTGTTTAATTTTTTTGTCTGTTTTATTTATAAGTCAGTCTTTTTTTTCATTCAAATTTATTTTACAATTTAAGTATGTTTTGTTACTAATTTTTTAATTATTAATTTAAATTTTTTCATTATATAAATACATGAATTAAAAATATGTGTGCATTTAATTAAAACCTTATTTATCTTCAACTTTTAGTTTGAATTATAAAAAGTTCGGTATGTAAATAAAATAATTATGTACTTCATGACTTGAATAATTCTTATATTTATATATTATATTGAAAGTGTTATATAAATAAGGTTTCAATATTAATTACATACAAACATTTTATGTATTACATATAAATATAAATTATATTAAAAGTTTATTTTGTATAATTGAAGTTCTCTAAAAAAAATATTTTCATACAATTTTTTTAGGTCAATTTACCGAGGACGGCTCCTTCATAGGCCAATATATACCAGGTAATTTAAATCCGCCTGTAAGTCCTGTACCATCAGCACCCCATAATCATCAACAACCATCATCGCAAGGTTCTAATGCAGTAGCTACTTATGTTTAAGCATTCTCTTATGTTTTTTAATTTTAATATATATATATATATTTTTTGTTTTTGAATAATTTATGATTTTTTTTTTTCTTTATTTAAATTCAATCAACAATTAACAATAGGTTCATATTTTAAATAAAAACCAATAAAACACAATGAATAATATAGAAAACGATACATGTGTGTGTGTATAAAATATTATATAAAAAAAAATCAGTGAAAATATTTAAAAATAAAATCAATTTTATTTTTATAATTTTTTATAATTTATATTTTAGAAAATCATAAAAAAAATTCCTTAAATTAAAAACAAAAATAAAAATGAACTAAAAATTCAATTCAAATTTAGTTGTTAAAAAATGTAATTTGAAAATATTAAGTATATAGTGTTTTAAAAATAAAAATAAAACTTGAATGAAAATGCTAAAAAAACGAAAAGAATTTAAAAAAAATTTAAATTTATATATATTATATACAAATATATAGTTACATAGAAATAATAATTTTAATCTGTAATCTAAATTTTTATTAAAATCATGTTGTCTTCATTTTCAGAAATATTATGACGAATGTAAATTTTTATGTTTTTTTTTTAATAATAAAAAACTTCATTTTATAATGCAAAAATAAAGTACATACCTAGATAATTTTAAAATATATAACGAATATTATTATTTTTTATAAAAGAAACGAATGTGTTTTTTTTAGGATCATTTCTTTATTAATTAAGCGGAAAGAATGAATGTATAAAGAATACAAAATTGAAATTTTTTGATAACAACTCTGATACAACTCAACTTTCCAACAATTCTTTAATACTACTTATACCGTGCAGAGTGTTATAATAAAAATTAAAAATAATTTTGTAATAAGAAGGAAAAAAAAACAAAATTTAGAATTAATCCTACATCATTTTAGTTAAGTATTTTTTTAATTGAATTTTGCTCTCCACATATTACTTCCACTAAGTAAAAAATCTAAATATATCAAAAACATTAAAGCCCTTCCATTTTACACTATCTTGTACTTAGAAATTAAATTTCTTTAAATTTTAAATAGTCAATTAAACATAAAACATTTAAGATTTTAATGTAGCAAAAATAATGTGGACAAAATTTTAAATAGTTATTATAAATACATAATATCTATTTATTATATTTTAGTACATTTAATAAAATATTCTCTATACTAAGCTATTAAGGAAATAAATAATTGTTTATTTAAGTTAAAAGGTTTTAAAGATTTTGTTTTATATTTTTGTTCTTTTTCTAAATTAGTAAAGAAATGTATCCTTATTTTATTTTTACAAAAGAAAAATTTGCTTTTTGTTTGGTTTTTAAAATTATATGTGAATGCAAAATTTTATTGTTCTATCAAATTAATTTTTAGTTATTATTTAATGTACATATATATAATTATGTGTTCAGAAAGCTTTTTACGTTTTAAAATTACAAAACAAAAGGGAATTTATATCATGTTTAACTAAACTTGAAAAAAAATATATATATTTAAATAAGTTAAAAATAAAAATTAAAAGTGTTCATTAATAAAGTTCATTTGAAATGAGATTTTCATTTATAACTCTAAATAATACAAATAAATGAAAAATGTCCATATTTGTATTAAATTTTAAGGAAAATTAATTAAATAAAAGAACAATTTTAAAAACATGTAAGCGAGAAATTAATTAATAACACTAAAAATTGTTAGAACAAAATGACGACTGTACCAATTTAATTAGTTCATATAACTGTCCAAAATTAAGTAATTTCATTATTATATGAAAGTACTATTAAATTTTTAAAATAAATAAACTTAAATTCAAAGATAATTAATAATTAAAACTTTATAAATATTTATATTTAACTTAATATAAATAATGTTATATATCAGTTTTATTAAAATGTAAACGAATAATATTCAAACAAAAAAGTTTTATGGAGACTGCTTTATTATAAAACTATAAGAATTTCAATTTTAGCTAAAAAAAAGAAAATAGAAAATAAATTTCATGGCCAAATTTCAAACGGGTCAGTTTTAAAAAAATTTAATTTTTTTCGTTCTTTTTTTTTTTTTTTTATAATCCCATTAGATTAAATATAAATACCCTTTTATAAAATTACTGCCTTATAACAACATTTAACAATCACCACAAAAATTTTTAGTATTTTAGCTAAATTAGATCAAAGATCCAAAACTTATATAATATATAAAAATAAGTGAATAATTTTAAAACGTAAACTGCTTTCAAAAATTTCAAAATGTAAAAAAATTTTCTAAAATTTTGAATTTAAAAAATATACACAATCATGTGTGTAGCTTTATGTATAAAATATAAAACAAAAAAAAAAAAAACAAAAAAAAAAAACAATTAAAAAATGTCATCATTAATTTTTTAAAATGATAAAAATGTTTTCATAAATGAAATATTTCAAAAAAGAAATACATATATAAAAATTCACATTTAGTTTAAATTCAAATTTAATATTATGCGGCAATCAATAATAACTTTCTTTTATAATATGGTAGAAACATCACTCTCCTTATTTTAATAATTTTAGCGAAAATTTAAGCTTTTTTTTAATGCTTATTTTAGTTAAATGTATATTAATATTTAATTTTATCAATAAATGTAATTAATAATTAAGAGAATGTAGAAATCACTTTTGAATTTTTTTTTTTATTATTATTATTTTTATTTTATTTTCGAATAATAATTAAAGTAAACGTCCATAGAATATTTAATTAAAATGAAATGTAGAAAAACAACAATATTTTGAAATGAAACACCTAAGTAATAATATTATAAAAACAATAATTTAAAGTAATAAATAAATGTATCAACATTTTTCAAATATAAATTCAATTTTTAAAAAAAAATATTAGGGTTTGATTTTCATTTGAAAAATTATTTTGTATTATCATTAAATAAGTTTCTGATTAAAAGTTTAATTACAAAATTAATAAATTGTTTAAAATATTTTTAATGATATTTTTGTCTGTAACATTTTCACAGGATAGATTACATTTTATTATTTACCAAAATTAATTTAATAATTTTGATAATCAATCCTTATGGTTTAAAATAAAAAATAAAACATTATTGCATTAATTTATCACTTTTTTGTGCAACAAAGTTGCAATATTTTTTTAATCATGTTATAAAAGTTTTGGTTTAAATTTTGTAAATTAACTTTTATGTTAATAATTTAATTTGCTATTAAGATGTGTTTTTTTTTTTTAATTACTCGTTTAATCAAGAAATGTGAAATATTATATTTTAATTATAAATGAAAAGTGAAAATAAAATTTAATTACAACCAAAATATTAGCATACAAATTTCCTCTTACAAAATCAACATTAATTGACATTAAAACATACAAAATAAAAAAGAAACAAAACTTAATAAAGCAAAATTAAAAATTCCAAATATATTTTATAAAAAATAAAAAATAAAAAAAAAAATAATATATAAGTTATGTAATGAAAAAAAAATTAAAAAATATAAAACAATAAAATATTCTAAACCAAAATCAAAATTTATTCTATTTACGTTTAAAAAAACAAAAAAAAATATTTATATTTTTATTTGCGATATGTGAAACACTTAAATATATACACAATTATATTACCTGTTCTATCCACGCTTAAAATATAATAAATAGCCTTCTCCAATAATTTAGATGTACCAAATAAAGTCTCTTTATTTTAATAAATTTCGAATTTATCCCAATTTTATGCTTAGACTCTTGCATACTTGTAAGATTGCATTTTATATTTCACTTTATAACGCTTATAAGCTTTAATGTATATAAATTATAAATAAAATTTTAACGAAATAAACTTTCTGTCATAACCACTTTAATTTTGTTTATTCAGATTTTTAAATATTGCAACAGAAAATTTTAATCAAATCCTAATCTTAAAAAATTTTTTAAATATTTTTTATTTACATTAAACCAATTAAGATCCAACTCAACAGTAAATTAGCCATTTTATTATGAGAAAGACCCTTTCCATTTCTGAACCTTTCTGAAATTATTGTGTTTTTTTTTTTATTATTTTTTTACATTTTTCACGAAATAGAATTTTATTTTGAAGAGTTAAGATTTTTTTGTTTAAAAGTAATTTTCTTTAAAAAACGAAAGTTTCTCGAATAAGTTTTTTTTTACTGTAAAAGTTTATTTTTAAAATATAACAAAAATAAGTTAAAAAAAAACCACAAAGAAAAAAAATTTAATTTTAAGATTTAATTTTTTTTTTTTTTAATAAACATATTTTTTAATAAATAACTTTAAAAGCTGTAAAATAGGATAAAATTTAGTTTTTCTTTTTATTATAATTCAAACGAATACGAACACAAATACAAAACTAAAAAAAAAAACAACAGTCTTTCTTTAAAATATACAGAAGAAAAAGAAAAAAGAATTTAAGAAATATTATTAAAAAATATTAATGAAACAAACAAATAAAATTTAAATAATAAAATATACTATTATATTTATATTAATAAACAATATAAATGTACATATATACCTTTTAAGAATAAAAAATATTTAATTATGATTATGGAGAAAAAAATGAATCCGTATTTGATTATGTGAAAATTTTTAAATATTATGAGAAAAGGAAAATTCGAAGGAATTATATAACAAAAAATCTCTTATGTTTCTACAAAAATAAAACAAACAAAAAAATTGTATTTATTTTGTTTTTATTTTAACTATTAAATTTGCTTTTATTTTTTACAATTAGGTCAAAACAAGCGATCCAACAGCTCTATTATGAAGTTTGGATGTATAGTAGTTAAAATATTTTTTAATATAAAATGAATCTTAGACATTTGTGATTGAAATTTGCAGATTTCACTGACCATATCTTATTATTTCTCGTAATTTTTGTAATTCCCATAGCTTATCAGATTAAATTTAGAACCGAATTGAAATTTTTAAGTTTGTCTTTGAATTTTTAAGTATGATTTGCTCACCATGATAAAAACTTCCCAATGTTTAAAAATAATTTCATTGGTGCTATATTTTTTAAATAACTTATTTTTTTTTATACCCATTATAATATTTATATTAAGTTTCTTAAAGGAACTTTTTTATTTTTAAATTAAAAAATGCAAAAAATTTATGCAACTTATCTTGAGTCAATCAGTAAAAAACGAACAAGCACTGAAAAGTTCTGTAAACGATTTTTTTGATTTTAACATAAAAATTTTGATGAAATTTTAAAATAATTTTGAAATTGGGCCAAATTCATCGAAAATTAAATTAGATTTGGAAAAAAGACAAAATCTCAAATATTTTCTAATAAGCGGAAATACAAAAGAGCAAAGCTCAAACTGCCATGGGCAAGTGGGAAAAAAAAACACAGTTATTTGTTGAGAACTCAATTTCCAGATATTTTATATGAAAATTGATTCGGAAAGAGCTCATTGAAAAGTATTCAATGTAAAATCCGTAATTAAATGAAACACGTATATTTCGGACTATTTTACTTTTGAAACTTTCCTATTCTATAAAATTTTATTAAGATACTCGTATTTTATTAAGATATTTATTTTGAAGAACCCGAAAAATATGACGCTAAGTGAAAATATTATTGCAAAATCACGTTTTTCCCCAAACAAAATCCTGTCAATGAGCATAAATTTTGTGATGTTCTATTAATTTTCTTATAAAAAAAACACGAAAGATTGGATCAGTATTGAGAATCATCAACGAATATCATTACATACATATATCAATAAACAACAGTGATATATTTATATGTCTAAAACATTATTTTTTCTCTTGTCCCGATATACGTAATATTTATATACATATATGAATTCGAAAACTGTATGTAGTTGATTGGTTTGTGGTATTTGTTACTAAATATAAACAAATAAATCTAATATTTTAATTCTCAAAAAAACAAATATTTCTTAACCATTAAATAGCAGCACTTGCTATTTCAATAAAAATGTAAAATTAAATTGGCTAACAAAAAACAAATAAAAATTGAATTTCTAAAATAAAAATTTAGTTAATAAAAAATAAAAATTTAATAAATATTAAATATGTTAACTATAAAAATGGAAATGTGAACCAGCAAACGAATTATTTAAAAATTAGAAAAAAAAGGAAGAAAATATTAAGATAATAAAATTAAAGAAAATTATAAATATTAGAAAGGATATTTTTGAAGTAGGGAGAAACAATTTTTTTTTTAATAAAAAATTCAAAAATTTATAAAAAATAAACTAAAAAAAAATATTTTTGTACGAAAATATAGTTATTTTTTATTGTATATGGACGCAAAGCAAAAATTATTGCATTAAGAATAAAGCAAAAAAAATATTATAATAATATAATTATCATACATAGTATTTACATAGTATATATTTAATTACATGAATGAATATAAGTTAAATATTCAGTCTGACTCTAAATTAAAATAAAATAACTAAGCCTACATTATATATTTACTCAATTTAACAAAAATATCACTGTTTCCCACTCAATGAAATTTCACTTACAAAATTCTATAGTACATGTAATATTATATTTTATATAATATTATTTCAAAATATATAATTATGCATATTTACAAAAGACAACATAACCAAATATATATGTAGATATATCAAAAATAAAAAAATCTATTGAACAAAAAATAAATATATTTATTAGCATAATATTTACTATCAATTTAATAAATATATTTAATATAAATACTTTCGTCATGAATTTATTATAAACAATTAGGGATGGAATCCCTGACATTCAAATTCTAGTAATATTACAGATTTCTAAATTTAACGATTTTATGTTAAATTTAGTGTAGTATAATAGGGTATTAATATTGTTTGGATGCTGGGATGTTTATAGGCATGTCAATTTTGATTTTGCATTCTCATGATAATACATTTTGCCTAAATATACATATGTATGTATGTAGTTGGAAAAATATCGTATATAATTTAAGTAAGAAAATAAGTCACAAAAGAATGAATTTATTACAATAAGTTTTGAAGTCTATTATAATTTTTTAAATAGTCGTATGCAAAGAAAAAGGTTAAATTATTACTTTTAAATTTTAATATTCGTAATTTTGGCAAAGAGAACGTAATTTTCTTAAAAATAAAGAACGATATTCAAACTTTAATATAAGTATGCTTTTAATATAATTATATTGCATACTTATAGGAAAAGCTAAAAACAGAAATAAATTAGCAGTTTTATTAAAATGCAGCTTTCATGAAGAAACTATCATTAATGGATGGAAGAGAAAAGAACGAAATATTATAAATATTTAAAGGCTATAGGTTTTATCTTTCAATTGCAAAATATAAAATTTTTCTTATGTTAAAGAGTTTCCAGCATAAGCCATTGATAGAGATAATTAATGAAAACATATTATTCTGAAATTATTATAAATTTCATTTGCTTCAGAGGCTGTTAAGAAAACGAACAACTTAGAAGTACGTACATATATTATTTAATTAGTTAACCGAATTCAATGCTGAGCTCACTAATATCCAGAAATATATGTATATATATTAAAAAAAATTATAAAAAAAATATAAAGTACACTCCTTGTTTAATTTCAATCCATACATTAAATAATCGGCTTCATATCCAGAGAAGTATTATGTTTGTACATTTGCTAAGAAAAGGAAATAAAAAAACTTGATGAAAAATATTGCATTTCAATACCCTATTAAAAGCTGATTATCGAAAATTTTATTGTAGTTTTAGGAAAACATTTAATAAATTTGAATATTATTATTATAATAAATCACTATGCTTTATTCAAATAAGTAAAGATAGCTTGTGTAATCTTAATGTTGCAATAAAGTAAAAAAAAAAGTACGTAGAAAAATGTAAAATTTATTAAATAGCGAAAATAAAATCAATTTTTTTTATAATTTTAAAAGTAATTAATAATTTATAAAATATTTTGGGATAATTTTGTAAAATTAACGTAAAAAATAGTATTGTAATTATGTATGTATTATTTTTATTATTAATAATATTGTAATTTATATATTTCTAGATTTTTTTCTGTTGCAAATAAAGATTAAAACATAATATTTAAATAAAAATAGAAATGATAAAATATTATTGGTTCTTAAAATAATGTAAGTGATTGAATTGATATAAAATAATATACTTGCTTCATTTTCGAAATCTTAATTTTACCATCTTAAGAACAGAGCTAATCAAATGATTAGAATGATGTAAACCTGTAAAAAAACTTAAGGTATTACAACCTGAGACAAACGGACTACTTTCGTTACTAGTAATAATGCGTTTATTAAAAATATTTGTTATAAAAAAATAAGCTTATAAAATTTTCAAAATTTTCTTTAAGAGCAATTTGAAAAAGTGCAAATATATTATATACATTTTTAATAATTAGTCAACATATAAGTATATAATTCATCAAAAGTAATATTTTCAAAAAAAATTAGAACGTCATTGTAGAATGTATTTTTTGTTCTCAGTCAGTTAGAAATAACACTCTTATTCCATAACATGTGAATATAATTATTGTACGTATACGCTTTAACAATTAATTTTCTTGTCGGTTTTCAATTGAAATGTGTCTTCGTTTTAAATTTTTTGAATTTTGCAATATCAATTTATGATAAACAACCTGAAACATCTATTAAGGCGCCATTAATGTATGACGATTTTTCTGACGCTAAGAATGCTACTACGTCAGCAACTTCTTCTGGTCGCCCAAACCGTTTCATTGCACAACGTTCCTTTACAATTTTCTTTACATCCTCAGGTAAATTTTCTGTCATTGGAGTTTCTATATACCCAGGCAATATGGCATTTACCCTTATATTAAATTTTCCAAATTCTTTTGCGGCAACTTGAGTTAAGGAAGCAACACCAGCCTTTGATGCAGCATAATTACATTGACCGACCGTATTTAATTTTGCCACAATACTAGATATATTTATAATTGTTCCAGAAATTTTATGTTCCACCATTGATTTTGCAAAATGTTGTGTTATTAAAAAAGTCCCCTTAAGATTTATTTTGTAAACATCATCGAATTCCGTTTCAGTCATTTTTAACAGATATGCATCACGTATTATTCCAGCAGAATTAACAACTATTTGTGGCGATCTTTTGTAATTTTTAATGGCATCATTTAAACATTTGTAAACGCTCTGATCTGAAGATACATCAACTTCTAAAGCTAAAGATTCTGGCCCTAATTCCGACGCTGTTAATTTTGCAGCTTCATAATTTTTATCAGCAACAATTACCTAGAATATATACATATATATTATTCAAATATGTAATATATTGTTTGATTTTAAATTCTGGTTGACTTAGCCGAACAACATTAATGTAAATTCAAAAAATAATTTTTTTTTAAATCTCAATTTGATGCACTCAAATTATAAGTAAGCAAATATAAGTATGTATGAATCCACCTAACTACTTATCTGTTAACATATAAGAAGGTAGGTATGTATTATCTATCTACCGCTATACTAGGTAGGTGGGTAGGATCTTATATTTTTTGTGAACCGTTTTTCAAATTAATACATACAGGCATTATTACAAAACCAAGAAAAAAGTGAACTTATTAAGATTTTGCATACCACAAAATAGTTTATAATTAATGTAAATATGTTTGTATGATTATGATTAACAAAATGTTCACATATAGCTAATAGTTTCTAAATATTTACATATCTAGATAGGTAGGTACCCACATACCTACTTATCTACAAATTTTCCTTTAGTAAACCGTAAACATGCATTAATACACGATAATGCTATGAATTAAGATTCTAAATATTAATTAGAACGATTATATCGTAATTATTCAAAAATAAACATTCATATTTAAAATTTGAATAATGAAAATATCACAACAAAAACTTTCTCTTTTAAATATTTAAACTAACCTTTGCACCTTCACGAGTTAGTGCCTGGCATACTGCTTTTCCAATCCCAGATCCTCCACCTAAATTAAACAAATATTTTTATTAATTATGTGCTAATTGAAAAATGTTATCAAAAATTTTTAATGTAAATATGATTATACAAAAGTATATTGGTACATTTACACATTCAATTTCATACCAGTTACTAAAGCTAAACGTCCGAAATGTCCTCTCATTTCTTAAATTTAAAAGCTTGTAATTAAAATTATCATACAAAATAAACTAACTTTAAGGTTGAAATAATTATTAATAAAATTAAAATTAGTAATATGAATTTAGAAAACGAGCAAAACAAAAAAAATAAAATTCTTAAAGTACAACATCCAAATCCAAAACAAGTAGATATGCACTTCGCTAAATGCTAACTGAAAAGCTATCGGAAGAGAACTTCAATTCTGATTCTGTTTTTGTATAGTAACCACATACTATTCTCCGTAAACTAATACGAAAACAGTAATTTAAAGCTAAATACAATATTATTTTATAGAAAAATTTTTTTGTTCCCTTATACTATCTATAGATAAATCAAAATAAATAAGTATGTACATAATATGTAAACTTTAATGTTTTATGTCAAAAATATTTGGGCCCGCAATGCAATTGTTTCGCATCATTACGTTTGTCATTTTCTCAATGTTGTCAATTCCAAAATGTGTTGCCATATGATTTGAAAAAATCTTCGTTAATCTTTTCAAATGTATAATAATTAAATATTAAAGCCCTGATTGTCTATTTAGCTATTTTACTCGGCAAGTGAGAGAAATTTCTTATGAGTATCATATACTTGTACAATGTAATTTTTGAGTGTGCAGAATTATTTCGTCTTGCGTATTTATACAAAATTTATTCACAATGTTTTTGGAAGTGAGACGTTCAGTCGATAATTTGAGAAATACAAAAATCCAACTGACAAAAAAAAAATTTTATTGGAAAAATGAAATATCTATTAGAAAAGTAAGTAAAAAAGCAAGATACACGATCAGGCTGTAAGTATGAAGTAAATCTAGGGTCATTTATTATTTTTGACAATTTTGGCAAAATTAATTTTTTTCTGTTTAGTTTAAAATGCTTTGCCATAGTAAACCTAAATAAAAAATATCATGTCGTTCTTGATTTAGAATTGTTTTTTTCGTACTTACGAAACCAGCAAGAGCAAACAGAGTGCGATAATAGAGGCCATTGAGAAAAGAGTTATGGGTTGGCTTTTTGCGTCTTTTTAACATAATGTCAGATTAATTTTTATTTGTTTTGAGTATAATTGTATGTATGTTGTTTTAAAAGCACTGCTATTTAAATCAAAATACTCAAATTTTCGAAAAACATATTGCATAAATGAAAAAATAATATCAGTTGCAAAAATAATACTATTTAGGGAAAAAGACAGATAATTTTATGTATAATCAAAAGGAAAAACTATTTTGTTGGGCAAGAATAATACACGAGTGCGTCGGTGAATTGATGTTTAAAAGCGTCTAACAATTTAGCAAAATTTGATAAATTCGTAATAGTACGTATTTTGTTTATAAATAAATTCAATAAATCAAAAAGAAAATGTCAAAAATTAAAACAACAAAAACTTACAGCAAAAATATCACTTATTATAATTTAATATTTTGATTTGCCTTGTTTTGTGTTAAGGTTAGTCAATTAATATTTCTGACATTGGACAACATGACTAAAATTTATATTTTACATGATTAAAATTTATATTCGACATGAGGAAACATCAGTTTCCAGTAGTCACAGTCATTGCAGAAGTAATAGCTGTCAAAAAAACTGTTTATAACTGTTTAAAAGTTTTTGACAATTTTTAACGCACTGCAGCATAAACTTGTTTTATGACATACACTTGTGTAAACTTTTAAAAGTTTTCATTTGAAATTTTTCAATTGTGTTGTGTTTACGCAAAGAGTTCAAAATTTTTATAAGGAAAATTTTAGTTGTTTTTCAATGTCTGTACCTACTCGTTTGAAATTGTAAAGTAATTAAATCTGTTATAAGATACGGCATTTTAAAAAAATTGAACAGTAATTAAACAAGTTTACCACAAAATTAAGCTAAACTTAAAATAAAATAATGGCACAAAAAGCAATGCAAATTAATTCTGTGGAAGATGTTACTAAATCTGTGAAAATTCCAATACTAGAATCATGCATAGAATTACCTATTGAAGAAGAAACCCTTATCGAACTTACGCAGAAGGCAAAAGATTGGGCAATTATGCACGGTGCAGGTATGCGTTCCAAGACTAATTTCAGTTCAGATTCGTTAAATGTAAGTATATAACTATATACATATATATAGAAGTTATGAAGAAATAAGAAAATAATAATTATATTAAATCTGCTTTGTTCAATAGTTTGCACCGTTTATCTTAACACCTTGTTCATTTCCAAGAAAACAATTTGAAAAGGCCGTAAGTTTAATTATTTTAAGTTTAGTTTTTAGTTTAGTTAAACAAGTGAATGATTTTAGCTTAAAATTCAAACTGTTTTAAATGAATTAACACATTCCATTGCACATGATGAGGAATTTTTAAAGAAAACTTTAGCAGAAACAATAAAGGTGGATGAATTTACAGGGAACTTATACAAAATATATGAAAAAATTCTAAGTGAAGGCATAAGTCAGGTAAGGTTGATCAAGAGGCAAAGCCATTTTGCTGGGCAAGTATAATATTCTCATGTAGATAAAACAAAATATAAGAATAGTGGTTAAAAAAAAACATTCAATCATTATTAAAACACGGTGAATGGTTCTTAAGGTGATAATGGTTTTCAAGATTTTAAAAAACAAAATACAATGTATATATGTATGTTCACAAGCTCACGTCATTATCATTATTGTAAAAAATGCTTAAATTATTTTGTTGATTATCTTAAAAAGTTAAATTTTAATATTTAAACACAAAAATGTTTCACATACTTATTCAGCAGAAATTTTAATGGTTATCATTTAAATCAGTTTCTAAAAGCTATACATAATAGTTACATTTATTTTCTTTGTATAAAGATCTGATTAAACAATTATGTATAAGTACTATATGTGCACATGTAGATAAATATTTGTAAATATATTTCGCACATCTCATGTAAATTAATCTTAACTAGTTGATAAGATAAAATTTTATTAAAAAGTTTTTATATTTTTTTCGAATGAAATTAATAGGAAATATACTTCCCTACGGTGTCGTAATTAGCTTTTTTCCATTTAAACATTCTATGTTGAGAAGTTTTTATTTAAATTTAAGATATTCTAAGATTGGTATAACATGAATTAGATTTCATATTGATGCCGTGTTATAAAAATTTTTTCGTTTAATTGTCATTAATTGCCTGCAAGATGAATTTCGTTCTTAAAGTGTGCATTTATACATCCACGTTAATGTGGTATATTCATAAAATATGGTTCTCTATACGGATGGTGTTTATTTAAAAGACGTTTATTGTCGACAATTTTTTTTCTTTGCAAATTAAGGAGTTCGATTGATGCTACAAATAAATGTGAAAATATAAAGAATTTAATTTTTTAAATTATTATCTAACATAAACATACACATACATAAATATTCACGTTTTTGAAAAAGAGTTCTTCTAAGCAAAGTTTAAATTTCTGTTAATCATCGGTCGTCAAGTTAACTATTATCTGGAAATATTTAAATAACACACAATTGCCTATTTTTTAAATAATGAGCTAAGGGTACATATATTAAAAATTTATAAATTTTACATGAAATTATATTATTATTTAGGTATATACCTATGTATATCTGTTCGAAATTTGAAAATGAATATTATTTTTGTTAGCCGACAAGATCAACATGCCATATTTTTATTAAATAACCTGCATTACTTAATATGAAAATCAAATAATATGTATTGTAAAAAAATCTAGTTCTCAATAGTTCCACATAAAAATAAACTAACGTTGAGTCCTGCTTTTATCATTCACCGTAAAAATATTTTTATTCTTACGTACATACATATATAATAAAAGGATTTTTCATAATGTTGCGAATTAAAATACTTTGAAAACTTCATTTTTGAATTATTAAATAATTAGTGTAGTAGATAATTAATGAAAATTTGCACATAAAGTTAACCAATAGCACAAATTGTCTTCATGTTTTATATTTTTACTTTTTAATTGATATTTTTTCGGTTTATGCGTTACTAAATCTTTCTTATTTTTTTAACATTTTGAAAATGAAAATGACGAAAGTATTTTGCCTTATATTTTCAAATAATTTGCTACTATAATGAATAACATTTCAAACTAAAATATGTAAGCAAATGTTACATTCTTATATACATGTACGCACATACATAATGTATATTAAGTGTTATATGTATATAATTATATAATATGAATATGCATTTATTCGTTTCGCAGAATTAATTTGTTCTTATTAAAATACTATAAAATAAGCTATTTGTGAAGTCAAAAATTATTGTCTGCATATTAAATTTTATACTTGCTACAGCATACAACATTCATTTTTATATATTTGTATGTAAATATCAGTTCAAGATCATAATACGGTTCAATGATTTCTTTAATTTTAATAATTATACTTTTAATTTACTATAATCATTATTCTCAAATTATTAATGTGCTTGTCAAATTTCATAAATAAAAATTTTATTTGCACAAAATGATAAAATTATTAAAATTATCAAATTTGAAATTTTATTTTAAATTTGATTCTGTGGTTAAACAAAGTACTAAAAAAAACCAAAACAGAAAAAAAAATTGTTTGTCTAAATTATTAATTTAGCCAATATCATTGGGATTACTCCGTTCCGATCTGATGCTGGAATCAAGATGTCATGGTAGCATTGAAAATGCAAATAAATCATTATGTGATTATGACTGGAAGCAAGTTGAATTAAATACAATAGCGTCTGGCTTTGGCCATTTAGGACCAATCAGTAAAAGTATACAGAGGTGCACATAACATTTTTATGATTATATATTTTTTATTAATAATTGTTAGTTCACTTTTTTTTATTTTAATTTTAAATTATATTATTTAATTAAATTTTATTTTAATTGTATTATTTTGAAAATTAATATTATTAGGCATACAAATTTGGAAATTACAAAATTAGCTACTGTTGAGTATTGGTAATATTTATCCTCTTATGTTTTTTATATCTTAATTTCCAGCGAATTAAAAAATCGCTTTTTTATAATCAATTTGGAATTTTTTTAATTTTCTGATTTCCATTACATGATTCTAATTTCATACATACTTCAAAGTAATATAAAAAAATTTGTTATAATTTAGAAAATTCAAGAAATACTAATGGGCTTTTTAACATCAAAATTTACTTTTGTTTTGCATTTTGATGAGCAAAAAATCACAATCCCTACAAATGTCAATATTTTTAAAAAATAAGGCAAGGTAACATAAATCTTCTTACTTTTTTTGTAAGAATAACGTAGTTTTACTCCTTCAAACTTAGCGCATAATAAAAATTTATTTTTTTAAATTTTATCGTGTTGTCTGTGATTTGATTTCACTTTGAAATTTTGATAAACACTACTAAAATCAATCATACTTTCTGCAAAATGCACTAACACTCAAAAAAAAAAACAAGTTGACTTCAAATCTTTAATTTGGTAGATGTTCTTATGATTTCATTGCATAATGCTATTTTATCGTCTTTCAGTTCCTTATTTTGCGAACCATGTCTCAAACAATTTGTTAAGATTTTATTATATTTTGTATTTTCCAAATTTCTTACAATATGAATTTATTTAATTTGAAATAACAACAAAATCATTATTGCATAATGTTCATGAAATTTGGTTTGAAAAATTCAGGCTAACATTAATTTATATTGAAGTACATATTATTTAAGCATGGATTTTTTCTTATTGCTTTAACAATTAAATTTTTACCATTTACATTTTTTTCATAGTCATTCTTAGTTTTATTTTAATTTCAGTTTTTTTATGTGTGTAATAATCATTAATTTTCATAAGCATCTCAATATGTTTTGTAATAAAAAATTGTTTTGTAAAAAATATTGTTTTTTTTTTATAATCTAGTGATTATGGTTGTTAAATGAATGTATAATTTTGAATGCTCTTAAATTTTCAAAATGTGATTTATTCAACAATTTACTATTGGTTAATAAAATATGCTAAAAGGCGTTATTAAAATAAAATAAAATAAAATATAAAGACAATGAGTTCGCAATTTTTCAATTTATTACTTGGTAATTTAATATTTATGAAATTTCATATAATACTTTTTTAATTTTTGTGACAAAAATTTCAAAATAATTATGTACTTTATTTTACAACTTTTAAAGTGGTTTAATCCTTGTTAAAAAGATTGTAATAGAATATAAATGTGAATTATATTTATGGGGAACAAATTCGAATTATTGAAATTGCATCAATTTTATGTTGAAAAATACTAAAATCCGCACTAACTTGCTATAATATAACTGACTATAGTTGAACAAAAAAATTTTTTAATGATTTTTGTTCAATTAGAGGACAAAATTATAAAGAGCATTATTAAAATTATTAATTTTGAAAAAATTGTTTAGTTTTTAGTTAGCAACGTAAATCACTAGAATTACATATGACATTCAATTGGTTTAACAAAAAATTCAAAATTAAATTAAATAATACAAAAAGAATTAGGAATAAAATCATAAAAATTAAATTGGAAAATAGAAAGCAAAAATCGCCAAGTCAAAAAATAAACATTATTTTTTTTTTGTTTTTTTTTTTAAACGAAGTTCATTGTAAATTTATCATCTTAAGAGCCATTTTATTTTCTTTATCATTGTTACTTTTTATTTTTCTAATATTTATAACATAATAATAATTAATTTAATATTTTATATTTTGATTTTTTTCATATATTATATAACAACATCCATAAAACTCGAATCGAATTCTCTATATATGTTTTATATTTAAATAAAATTTCATTGAATTAAAATAAAAGAATTGTATGTATATTCCGATCAGGAAAATTTTTTAAATTAACTTTAAAAAACAAATGTAATACGACGCGTATATATGTATATATATATATATGGATTATGTATAAATTTAAAATTATGCTAAATACGTTACCCAATGTATTCATAGATGCTTATTTGTAGTGATTGGGTATTTTCCGAATAAAATATAAATTTTAAACAAAATTGGAAATTTTATACTGAAAACCACAACACTTTCGAATAATATTCTATTACTTTCAAGTGTAGAGTCTAATAAAATATCGGCGTATTTCTAATACTTATACATATACATATATATATATATATACATATTACGCACTTATTTGTAGATTACTTTTGTTTTAAGTGACAAAATTATTTAAATAAAATTAAATTAATTAAAGTAGTGACAATCAACTCATTCATCAAGAAGAAAAAAAAACAAAAAAAAAACAAACCATCCTTATTGTTTTGCAGGATACTATTTCTGTTGGCATCTTAAGATCAGACTACTTGGCACAAAGTTTTGAAGATAATAATATTAAGCAGGTGGAAATTAATACTGTTGCATCTAGTTTTGGTGGGATATCCACCTATATGAAACCTCTACAGAGGTACAATAAAAGAATTTTTACGTGTTTTTTTTTCTTACAAAATATATTTAAGAATTTTTTTTTTTATTTTTTTTTTCCTTTACTCTAGATTTTACTTCCTTAGCAAAATTTATAATTAAATTATTTTATTTGATACATTTTTAAAAAAAAATATTATCTTTTTTTTAATAGTTTTAATTTGAAATCCTTTAAAAGAAGAGTTTTTTAACTTAAATTACATTACAAACAAATTTTAAAACTTACATTTGTGTACATAACTTACTTAATGAATTTGAATGTTAATTAGATTCATGATTGTTTTTTTAAGATATTTGTATGTATATATATATATCGCTTGTTTGCTGCAAGAATGGCATTCCTCGAAATGAAATTTTCAGATATTTGAGAGAAAAACTAGTTTTAAAGTTTTAGGCTTCAATTTATTTTCTCGCCCAAATATTATTTTATAATTTATTGAAAAACGACAATTTTTAAGCTATAGAAATGGCATATTTGTACAAAAGAGGCTTTGTTTTAAGGGCTTATTTCTGTATAAATAACGTACAAATTGTATTTTTTGAGTTATGTTTGTCAACATACAGGCAAACAAGCAATATATGTAAATTTTTATAAAACTATTACACGTTTTACTATTTTATATCTTTACCATGAAATTTACAATTATTTTAAAATAATATTAATGATTAATTTTTGTTAACGAGTTAAAAGAGAAATAGACATGAAAATCAACGTTCTTAGCTAATACTTGATTTATTTTAATAATTAATTTAATTCTAATATTATGTAAATTAATTAGTTTTATTTTAATAAATCATTCAAGATAACTCTGATTGCCTTCATTTATAACTTTCATATTACAATGCTAGTTTCATTCTATATAACTAGCTATACTTGAAAATATTTTTTTTTCTTTAAATAAATTAAAATAAATAAATTATCCAAAATGAATTATATAATTTAATAATATTATTAAAAATGTATCTAAAATTTTTTTTTATAAAATTTAAATAGGTATAGTTTTTTTTTATTTATTATTTACATAGTTTTTTCCTCAAAAAATATATAAATAAATCAAAATGAAAATATATTTAGAACTTACAGTAAAAAACAAAACGAGTTTTTTTAAATTGTTTTTAATAATCTGAGAAATTTAATTTATAATTTAATTTTGAATTTTATGTTTATACCTTTAAAATGTGTTTTTTGATCAGTGTGCAAAAAATTTTGAAATATTTTTAATTTTTCTTTTTTTATTTTATTTTGTTTTAGTAGAAAATAACAATTGTAAAATTGTGAAAACATTCATTTAATTAAATAAAATAACAAATATTCTTGTAATTTTTTTTGCTTTAATTTTTATTAAGAACATGAACAAAATATTAATAATTATTTGTATTTTAATTAGATAGATATTAAATTCTAACATATTGCGTGCTTATGCATTAAAAAATTAAAAGTTATTTGCTGAAACTGATTTTAATTTATTTTAATAAATAATCATTTTTGATTTTAAAATTATTTAAGAAAAGCGTTTCAGAATCATGCAAAATGTTAGTTTTATTTATGTTTATTAATGTAATATTATTATATTTAATAGTTAATATGGTATTCAATAATTTATATAGTTTCGAACTATATTTGCTTTATTAAACATACTTCTTTATTTTATCTAATAATTAACAAGTTGAACATTATAAAAATATTTAAAATGATTGAGTATATTAGAACTTTGGTGTATATGAGAAATAAATTACAATAGAATAAAATTAATTTTTAAATAATATAAAATTAAATAGAATGCGAAAAATTAAGTACATATTTGTTAATTATATTTAAAAAATTATTTTGAATTGCTCATTCATAATGAATATTAGAATTTCAAACGTGTCATGTAAAATTTGTATGTAAACAAAAAGATTTATTTTATAAACATACACGGCATAAATCAATGTTAAAGTAAAAAAAAAGTATAATTAGTAAGTGGAAGGGTCCTTTTTATTGTAAGATGTATATTAAAATACTTTTAGCTTCAATAAAATTATATTTAAATTTCATATTTTACAAAATAAATTATATTTTATATTTAAAATTCAATGTACATCGTAGGGGTAATAATTCTATATAAATGATATGTTTATTTTAAAACTTATTTCTTCCCCGCTCCTTTCTATTTGTATTCAGGAATAGGCGAGATCAAGTTAGATTTTTTTTATTTTTTGTATTAACGTTTTTCATATACACCAAAGCACTTTTTCAAGAATTATTTCAAGAAAGTCTATGTAAATATTTTTTGCAATCCGCCTTACCATACAATAAGTCTAAATTAATCTTATTGACTATATTTAGAAAAAGTTTTTTATAAACATAGAAATATTTTATAATATTTCTAAATCGAATTTTTACATTCGAGTGATTTTGGAAAATGTAAAAAATTTTTTTGCATAAATTTTAAGAAGTTAAGAATGCAACACTGGACAATTTTAAATTAAATTAAGCTTTTGTTGTAAATCTCTGTACAACGCGAAGCAAGATCAAATGTGAAAATATATTTTAATTGGATGTAATATTATTATTAATGTAAATAATGTGTAAAAATTAAAATTAGAATATAAATTTTGTATTCGACTTCAACTTTTTCTAATTTGATCGCTATCAAATAATATTTGATTGACTTTTTCTAGTCATAAATTATTTTTAAAGAAAAAATTCAAAAGTTTATTTTAACAAATAATTAAAATTTAGTAATTTATTAAAACAAAGGTTTTTATTTGTTGGTTCGGTACCTCAAATATAAAATAAGAATTAGTAGTTCCCTATTTTTTTGATGAAATATTCAAGAAATACTTTTTGAAGAAAATAATTATTTTTATTAAACTCATTTAGAAAACTGCTTTTAACTTTATTCTTTATTTTAAAATTTTTATAATTTTATTATTTAATTATATTTGAATATTTTTCTAATTATTCTAATCTGCTTTATATATGAATAGAATATTGTATTACATTCCAGATTGCGATAATTAAAAAATATTAATTAATTTTATAATATTTCAGTTATGTTCTGGCAGAGTTGGGCGCATATGACAAACTTGTTAATGTAAGAAATACATAATTCATTTGTTAAAAGCATTTTATGTAAATTTTTAAAAATTATTTTGTATTTTAGTTACCTGAAAATAATGCATTATTTGGAATATGTAATGCCATGATTAAAGCATGGGAAATATATGGAAATGATGAAGCCGTAATATTATTTATTATTGAAGACATTTCATACAACATTTGTGATCAAGTATGTAAAATCAATTTTATTTTATCTAGGAAATGCTATTCATGCTGTTATATTAGAAAATTATATTATTAGCATATTGGAAATAATTCGTTATAAAAATAAAGAATTCTCTTTAATAATTCTCTTTTCTCATTCTCTTCATTCTTCCAAAAAATAAATGGTCAATTATTTAATTTTCAATTTTATTCTTACAGCGTTTTCATGAATTCGAAATAAGACAAATGAATCCTAAAATTAAGGTTATACGCAAAACTTTAACGCAAATTTATAACCAGTCAAAACTTGGTCCAAATAAAGAATTAATAGTGTAAGTATAATTTTTTATGGATAAAAATTCCGAAAAGTAATAAAATGATTAAAAATTTTTTAGAGGAGGACATCATATAAGTGTAGTTTATTTTCGAGCTGGTTATGAACCAGGACATTATCCATCACAAAATGAATGGGATGCTCGCCTTTTAATAGAACGTTCAAAAGCAATAAAATGTCCCACAATTTACTACCATTTAGCTGGAACAAAAAAAGTACAACAGGCATTGTCAGAGCCAGGGATGGTTGAACGTTTTATTAAAGATCCAGCAACAGTAGCGGAAGTAAGAAATATTTTTACTGGTCTTTACCCATTGGATGATACAAATGAAGGCAATGCTGCTTATGTATTAGCAATGCAAGATCCTGAAAGGTAAATGTAAAGATAAATGTTGTTTAAAGTTTTATTATAATAAATTTTTAATTTTACATATTTAGATTCGTTTTGAAACCACAGAGAGAGGGAGGCGGTAACAATGTTTACGGTTTGGATATTCCTGACGCGCTTAAGGTATTTCGCTTATTATCTTTTGCAACTTTGATATATATATATATATATTTTGTTTCTAGAAAATGAGTAAAACGGAACGTAAAGCATGGATATTAATGGATCGCATTTTGCCACCAATTTCAAAAGGTTATATGATTAGGCCTGGTGGTCCAATACCTCCACCAATTGTTGACTTAGTTTCAGAATTAGGAATTTTCGGTGCTATTATTGGTGATGCAAAAAGTATCAAAATCAATTATATGGCAGGTCATATGTTCCGAACAAAAATTTCAACTGCTAATGAAGGTGGTGTCGCAGCTGGCTTGGGTGCTTTAGATAGTCCATATATGGTTGATTAAAAATAAAAAAAAAAAATTATTGTATATATTTGTATAAAGTGCTCTTAAAAATTTTCATTTTTACAATATTGTTGCTTTTATACTTTTTTTTATAATACTTTTGAATCTAGAAAAAAATCCATTTGGATATTACTTTCAAATAAAAATGCATTCAGTGTACATATTTCTAAATCAAGTGTATATAATAGAATAAATATGCAAAATTAATAGAAAGTGAATTTTTGTTTGAAGTAATACATTTTGATGTACGCAATTCGGTTTTTATTTTGATAAATTAAAAAATAGTCTTTTAACTAGAACTTTGAAATTTTAAAATATTTGTTTAAGTATTTCTAATGGAATAGATATTCTACATATTTAAAGTTGATTTCCCAGAATTGCATCAAATGTATCGCAGCAAGAATCTATGAACAGCAAATCAATTTATACAAAACTTTTTACTCTACCATTTTAATTGAATGAAAAACACATAAAAATAAAATTTTGTACCACAATCAATATATTTCAGGATGTGTTAAAAATCAAATGGAAACAGAGTGTATGACATTGGCCATATTCCGTAATACAAAAAAAAATACATATGTTAGGTCGTTTTAAAAACAAACTTTCATAAAAATTTTTAATTAGAATTGAAATATTCTATAATTTACGAAATTTAATTCTTTTGGTATTTTACAATTAATTTTTAAGTATCTTTTTCGTTATTTCAGATTCATTTCCAAATATGCTACAACAGAAGCTTCCCTATGCAAATAAAGGAATCGTTATTTTCTTGCAATAACACTACTGCTTAACTTAATAGAGACTTAGAATTTTTATATCTACTTTCAAAATTCTACAACGTACATCCTAAATATATGCAATTTAATTTAAACGCGTAAATTTAAAATAATTTCCTTTGTGGAACAAATCCACAAAGCAATTTACTTTGAAGATCAGTGATTAATAATAATAAAAGATCAGTGATTAATAATAATAAAAGATCAGTGATTAATAATAATTAACGAATAGTTCCATTATATTCTTTGTCATATCTACATTGTTTTATTTTGTTTGAAAAAATATGCACTCTGTTTGAAAAAATAAACTGCATTTGTTTGTAATTTTAATCAATTGCCAATGAAATCATTCTCTTTAGTTGTAATTGAAAATATCTTTTACGCAGGTGTGTTCAATATTATGGTACATAACGTCTGTTAATGGAAAATAAAATAAACACGTGGTTGAAATAATATGTCCATGATATTTGTATAGGTTGATAATTTTAATATTATACAAACAAACTAAGGTAGTTTAATCGTTTTACATTTTTGGTTTTCCATTGTCTAATGCGTTCTTGTATTTTTCTTATCACGTTAACAAGCATTTGTCAATGTAATGTTAATGAATTTTTATATATATGTATACATTCTGCTATAAAAACGTACTAAGACGGCGGCTTGTATGTATTTTTTTTTAATATTTTAAAAGGATAACAAATTTTTGAAGGAATGCATGCGCACAACCTTTTAAGAGATTTTTCGAATTTCGAATTTTTGCTGAATTTTGCACCCTGCCTACATACTTACTTACTAAAATAATTAGAGACAGCAATATTAAAATCACATGGTATGATTTAAAATTCATTGTTATTTGAAATGAGTACATTTTCATCACTTTGTCCATTTCTCATGCCGATTTCTAAGTATATGCATACATATATACATACAGATATTAGATAAATTTAAAACGGGAGCAGAACGCAAAATATGTACATAAGTAATTTTACACCCTAAATAAAAGTAGGTAGGTATACATACACATAATACTTTTTTCTGAAGGTTTTACTTTGAATATTGAAAGACTGTATTTGCTTAATTTCAAGGACATTGACTTATTGAAATTAAGTTTTAAAGCTCAATTTTCGTTTGTCATATTTTTTGTAACAAATTTGTGTGAAAATTCGTATTAATAAATAGATTAAGTTAAAATGTTCAATTAAAGAGTATGTGTACTAGCGTTTATATAACTTTGCTCTCAGAAAAATTTATCATAAAAGCAATTTTTTTGAGGATAACATTCGTCATGAAGGCAGGATGTTCAGGATTACATTGGTCTGTTCAGACAAAAGGGTATTACGGTAAGGTTCTCAAACATATTTGTTTCATTGTTCTTTTAAAGATAAAAACCAGATAAAGAAGTAAAAATTTTAAACTAAACAAAGGGTAACAAATATTAATAATAAAAGTCTGATGAAAACATAATGAGTAAGTTAAAAAAATTAAGATTGATGAATTAATTAAAACGGTTTCGGAAATTTTTAAAAATTTGAATCGTTCGAATTACATAAGTGATTATATTAACACATACCACACAGCATTTGTAAATAGCAAATTAAGACATATAATTTTAGTAAATCTTTTTGTCGTAATTTAAGCATTCGAAAAACACATTGAAGAAGCTTTATGCGAATAAACAGCTAATTGCGTAGTTTTTAAGTATTACTGAAATTTACAGGGATTTTACAGTAACAAAATAAAAAATTTATTGATAAGACTAAAAAATTTTTTAAAAAATAAATAAATTATTTTGGGAAAATTTTTAAAAATTCCATTTCAAATTTAAAAATTAAATTAAATTTTTCCACTAGCTCACTTACTTGAGCATAAAATGACCTCCTTGAAACGTTTGCATACTCTTTAGTTCTCCTTTTTCTTTATTAAATTCCATTTATAATTATAATAACCATGTGATGTTGAACTCTGAATTCAGACATTTATAATATTGTATAAATTTTATAACTAATATCAATAACAAAACATGATATGAGAGTGGTACGTATTATTTTCTATCTACACTACATAATATAAATAAATATAAAAACAGGTAATTTATATACATACATATAATAATCATTATGTGTAATGTTTCTCTTACTCTTCTTATACTCTATTGTGAAATGAATTTCGAAATTCTATTTAATATTTTGTTATAATCAAGGTAATGGTATGATATCAATGATGGTGTGATGAATTATTGTCTGAATATGTACCCCCTTATAGTATACGTTCGTTTGTATTATACAGGCATATTTCGAAGAAATTGTAATAGAGAATAATGTGAATAAGAACTGCAGTATTAATTTGCTGTGCAAAAAGTGAAGTCGATGAAGACCAGAAACGACAAAATCGCGCTGTTACCGCGGCTTAAGTTGTCTGGAAAAAATGTGAGTGAAAAATAATGAAAAAAAAAAAGAAAAAATAATAAAATAAATACATTTTATGTAATTTTTATTAATTAATTTTAAAACAAAAACAATTTTGTAAAATATTTACATACATACATAAATTTTTTAATTAAAATATCAGCGAAAATTTTTGAATAATAGTTGATTATGAAAAAAAAAATAGTTGAATTCAATTTTTGAAACTTTTGAAAAATAAGAGAAAAAAAGTTAAAAATCAATTTTTTTTTGTGTTTGTCTCGATTTTTTTGGTTTTAATAAAAATATTTTGATTTTTTAATGAAAATTTTTGCTAAGAGAAAAAAACTTTTATCTATTTTGCAAAAAAAAAAATATTTCTTACTCAATTGTTGTGTTGAATTTTTGTTTGACTTTTTGTTTTTGTTAAAATTTTTTTAATTAATTTTTTTTTTGGTTCAAAATTTACGATTTAAAATTGTTTTGCACAATATTTATTATTAAGAAAAGAAACTTAAATCATAAATACAGCGAATTAAAATATTATATTTAAAAATTTGTAATTAATTCATAATTTAGCAATTAAAATTCAAATAAAATGAAAAATGTCAAATGACAAAAAATGTTCTCTTGAAAGGAAAGCATAAATGTTAATATAGAAGACACTATTACTCAATAATTATTCTAAAGCATAGAATTTTTGTTATTTTTTTTGTATGATTGCTGTATAAAGTATAGTTTACACTTCATACTTTTCAAATTTCGCGAGAGTAAATGTAAAAATTAAGAAATTGCAAATTGATATTTAATTTAAAATAATAATTGAATTTTTTTGGACTCTCTTTAATTGAATTAATTACAAATTAAAAAAATTAATGATTTTATGAAAGAAAAGTTTATTAAAATTTTTCTCTGAAAATTCACAATATTTTATGTAACAATTTGTAAATTGAAATTTGTGTAAAATATCAATATATGTATATGGTTTTTATGATAATTATATTATGGACACTACATGTAAATGTGAATGAATAGACGAACAAGTAGAAAGTAAATAAAATTAAATGCTATTAACAATTTATTCACTTCACGCTTTTAATGATATTTTAAAAAAGTTTTTAATAATTTTACATAACAAATTTTATATAACAATAATAATTATTGTTGTTCCACGTATTACATTATTATAGGGCTAACACTGTAAGCTTTTGTAACACTTGATTTAAGAATCAATATGTTTCTCTCTGATTCGTTCTTAAAATTTTTATGTGAGTTAATTATAAAATGTCTAAATTTGGCTTAAATTTCAATTTTCTAGTTGGTATTTTGTGTTCATTATGTACATACATTATAAGAATGCACATACATACATTATTAAATAATGGTGTAGTTGATTTTAACAAAAGACAGATTCTTTTCAATTTATATATTAAACTATGAATGTCATCCATATTATGACATGAAAAAAAATTATGATTATGTAATTATGTATGTATTTTATGTGATAATTCTCGAATCGAAAATTCAACATTATATATTAATATCTAGGAAAATCAAAATCTTGAATTACAACATCATTCTTAGTTAAATAAAGAAGTTTATGTTATATATACATATATATATAAAATAATTTATATATAATATATTGTATGTATATATATATTCGAGAATTTTCATATACAATATAATTTTCATTTCACTTAAAATATGTAAACTGCACCTTAATAAAAGATAGTTTTCTATGAAATGTCAGAACAGCAACAGAAAATCTTTATATCTCTGTATACATATAAAAATTATAATATTGTACATATGTACACACATACTTAATATATTTTAGTACTATAAATGTATCTTTAAAAAAAAATCGATAAAACATTGAAATATAATAAAATTCTTCATTATTAAGAAATATTATGAAATATTAGTTAAATTCTCTTTAAATTTGGAAAATTTTGGAGGTTATGCAAGAAATTTATAAGAAAAAACT